AAGTCCATCCAAAAATAGACACACAAAGACCATGGAATGGGATGGTGATATTGTGTACAAAATCAACAATTCTCTAAATTAACACCAATCTTGCAGCACAACAAAATGAAAGGTTTACATTATTTCTTATTTCAAGGCAAAAACTGAAAGAAGACTTTCTTTCTTTCTTTTTTTTTTTTTTTTTGTTAAATGGGGCATTGAATCTCTCAGGGAGAGAGATTTGTATCCAGACTCAGGAAGTAGAAAGAGCCAGTAATTACAAAGCAAAAATAATCTGTAACTTGCAGAAATACAAGGTATGAATAAGTGTTCATAGCCCAGATAGAGGGTTATTATCTGGTTATTATCTGTCTTTCAGATTTCTATCAGAGATAAAACATCTTTAGGTAAATGTAAGAAAGGTCATTTAAAAGAAAGTTTCACTCAAGAAATTTTATAGAAAAAATTTATCTTAAAATAAAAAAAGTGAGAATTCAAGAGTGAGGAAAAGAGTAAAAAGTGAGTTTCAGCTGCTTGAGAGATATACCCCCCCCCCAAGAACTGGAATTATCTTTTGGAGGGTGGGTCCCTTTCAGGTGATGTTCTAGGAACCCATCAGTGTCAGTGTCAGCTAGTGTTGTTGTGAGAAACGGCATTCAGCTTCAGTTACATTTTTCTTTTTTTAGATTCTTTCAGTGTGTTTGTCCATTTCATGATGGGTGATTTGCACAAACAACCTATCCACACTGGACGGAGTGTTCAGCAGTTTTGGACTAAAATGGCACGACTCCTGTTCCACATCCTCCCTATTTACCCAATTTTACCCCAAGCAACTTTTTGTTGGTTTCCTCAGATGAAAAAAAGTCCTCAAAGGGAAGGTTTTGCCATTGTAGAAGAGGTGAAACAAAAAATGGCAGAAGCACTAAAAGGCATCAAAATTGATGAATTCAAATATTGTGTTGAGTGGTGGAAAAGGCATTTAGATAGGTGTCCTACATCAAACAGAGAGTACTTTGAAGGTGACTGAAGTTTAAACATGTAAGAATAAATAGTTTTTTTAATAAATAAATCAATTTTTAGGGACTCTCCCCTCGTACATAAATCTCACAGCCAGGTGTGCTGTCTCTACTGCAAGCAATATTTCCATAGATACAGGACTATTTTTCTTTTGTTCATTTTAACATGGTGAGAGACTCAAGTGTGATTCTGGGTTTTGACAATGAAAATAGTTGTGACCTTGGATCCATTTAATCAGGTCTCTACCCCACCCCATTCCATCTCCTGTTTGTTTTGCTTTCAGTGAATCAAGAATCCACCCTTAGCATCCACCTGCAACTTCCAAGAAAGATTGAGGGAAGAGCTCAGTGTTTCTTTCCGTAACACTAGTGGCATAGAACTCACATGATACATGATATAACCAGGAAAGCACAGCCTGCCTGGAACCAGTCTTTGTCTCCAGGTCAGGCAGATGAAGTTCTGGGTTGATGCTCATTTCCAGCCACTTTCCCCTCTGCTTCCTTCCACTCTACAGGCCGGAAAGTGACAAGTCCATTGTCCTAGGCTCCCTCCAGTCAGAGGCTTGTGACACAGTTCTGGCTTAAGTGGTATGTAAGGAGAAGTTTGCAGAGAAGGGCTTCCTTTCCTGAATATAAAGGCCATGCCTCATAAGGAGAAGGGGTTAGGGCCTCCCATCTCCTTCCTGCCTGGACAGATCAGAGGTACCCCAGGCTCAGCATGGTGGGACCAAACACAGGAGCATCCTGCATCCCACTGGTGGCCTGGGCTGCTCCATCCTGAACCCTTGCTCATCTCATAGAACAATGCTCATATGCTCAAGACACAGTGGTCAGCTTTTCCCATGTGCAGCCAAACACAATTCTCACAGATAAACCCAAGTAAGAGCTTTACTCTCTGTCATTTCAATAAAATACATAATTTCAGTCATCTTTTGGATCTAGTGTTATTTTCTCCATCATGGCTCCTTCTCTGGCATTTAGTGTTATCACAGGAAGGGGGAGTGTGAGAGAGAGAGATCAGAGAGCTACGAAAGTATAAGAGTATGTCTCTCCAACAAGAGTGAAGCCTGTGTAAACAAAAGCATTACTCGAGCTTACTCTTCTAGCATGTTGAAAGTAACAGGAGGCTTTGAGCCCTGTTTCGTGCCCAGTCATCACCCTGTTTTCTCTTAAGCATTCTCTGATCATGTTCATGGTCTGCAGAGACCTTCAAGGAAATGTTTTCTTTCTACCACTCAAGGCCATCCTCATGATTATATTTTTTTTTGCAGTGGGGAGGAAGGCTGAGAAAGACATATCACCTTGGCTTGGTTTCAAGCTTTGGCAAAAAGGATAAAGACGAGAACCAGTGGCACATGAGGGGAAGGGACAGGGAAGGTCAAGCAACGAGAATAAAGTGTTTTGCATTTTTAAATGTCTATTCAGGCACCAGAGCATCTTCTGAAGATTTTTTTTTTGAAGAATGGGAGTTGGAGAAAACGTTTTGAGAAAATATGGGAAAATGTTTTGCTGTGTAAAATGGTAGGATAACTATTTCTTAACAGAAAATAAAATATTGTAAAAAGTTGTTTCATGTTGTTAAACTAAGAAGACTGGTGATGTGTCTTACAGTCTCTCTTTGATGCATTCAAAGATTTCCAACAGGAACTTGGTAATTTGGAGGCAAGTTCGTCTAGAACATTATTGGCCCTTTTTGCAGAACTCAAATGAGACACAAAGACATTTCTTGACTCATCTAGGTCACTAGAAGTTACCTGAAAAACTGAAAATTTGCTTGAATTTCCTGTGTGGGCCTCCCCTTCTGCCCCCAACAAGACAAGCCGCCAAGGCTGCCACCATTTCTGAACTTTGATAAAATACATAATCACAAATGTTGCCAAGAAGTGAGGAAATCAGAGTCTCTTAGAGTCTGGGAGAATCTGCCTATGGTTCAATGGGAAAAATAGCATTTTCCTCAAGAAGAGCCTTTGAGAAAATAAAGCCACACCAGCACTCTCAATGAAGAAAAATGTCTCTGTCATCCCTCTGTGTTCAGGCCAAAGATTTATGTCACGACACATCCCAATAAATCTTGATTTAAAAAAAATTTAGATTCAAAGGGGACACATGCAGGGTTTGTTACATGGACATATTGTGTAGTGGTGAGGATTGAATCTCAGGTGGCCTATTCCCCAGAGAGTGAACACTGTACCCAATAGGTAATTTCTGAACCCTAACCTCCTTTCCCACCTCCTCCCTTATTGGTGTTTTCAGTGTCTATTATTTCCATTTTTGTGACCATTTAGCTCCCACATATGAGTGAGCTAAACTTATGAAGTTAAATTGCATAAAGGGAAAGGAAACAAGGAAAGCTGTCTGATGTTGAAAATCCATTAGGTTGGCTGATTCACTCGCTGCCCGTACCCAAGCAGGGCTCTGCGGCTCCACTTTTGCCTAGGCTGTACCCTCTGCCTAGACCACCCTTCTCTCTTCTCTTTGTTCTCAAGCTCCCCAACTTCCCCTCCCCCAACTCATGAGTCACCTTCTCCAGGGAGCCTCCAGTGATGTCCTCTAGAGCATTGCAACCTCTCACCTCCTAGAGTAGACAGAGGTTGACCAGCTGCCATCTTAGGTAACCGAACATTGACAGCCATGTTTAACATTTACTGCTTGCTTTTTATGGCTGGGCCAAGCAACTTACACAGGTTATGTAACTCAGTCCATATAGCTACCTTCACAGTAGGTACTACTATTACCCTGACTTTGCAAATGAGGAAACTGAGGCTCAAAAGAGAAACTCTATATGTTATTTGACCAATGCCAGAAAAAAAGAAAAGGAAGGAAAGGCCATCATCGTGTCATCTAAGCACACTCCTATTCACTGTTTTTCCTAATAGTGGGGGATCTTCTACACTCTCAGGCTCTCCCCTCCAGACCCTAGGGCTTCTATTAAAGTCTGCGTGTGCACAGCAACCATGCAGTCTTCCTGTCCTGGCAACCCACCAGACTTGCTTTCTCAGTAAAGGGCCACATCTCTTATGGGCACAGCTTTCAGATTTATGTCAAGAGAACGGAGGAGGCTCCTGGCTACTCAGTTGCTTTCAAAAGCGCTAAAAGGCATCTTGGCATTTAGATCCTGGGCCAGCTGCTGTTTCTGAAGGTGTTTCTGCTACTGGTTGCTGCTTCTTCCTGTACTACGTGTGTGAGCAGCTGAGGGGACTCCTGTTGTCTCCCAAACTCCGCTGGTCAAGCGAGTCTGAAGCACAGGGACAATCCTGCACAAGGAAGCAGAGCCAAGGAGTGGACTTCTTTTGGGAACCACTCTTTGCTTTTTTAAAGCTTAAACATTTCAAAATTATTTTGTCACTTTCAAAAGTTTCTTAGCGTGCAAAGAGACGAAATCATGCAAAGGCATGATTATAAATTTAGATAGTTTTTAACACCTTTTTTTTTTCATAGTTTCAAAATGTGTGGGCAATTTCAGATGTGAAACTTCATCTCACAAAGGAGGAACTGGGGTCTGATTCTTCAGCATCCAGGAGAGCAGTTTCCTTGTGGGACAGGGTGAATCAGATTTGCTAAGATTCACTGTTGGGGGCTGCATTGTGCACCACCCCCCCATTCTTATGTTGAAGTCCTAAAAGTCCCTGTAATTTGACTGTATTTGAACATAGGGTTTTTAAAGAGGTAATTAAGGCCAAATGAGGTCATTAAAGTAGACTTGAAAAAAATATGACTGGTATCTTTATGAGAAAGGGAGATTAGGATGCAGACACACACAGAAGGAAGACCACATGAAGATACAGGGAGAAGGTGGTCATCCATAAGTCAAGAAGAGAGACCTCGCCAGAAACCAGCTCAGTCGATACCTTGATCTCAGACTTACAGCCTCCAGAATTGTGAGAACATAAATTTCTATTGTTTTAGACACCCATTCTGTGGTGTTTTGCTATGGTAGCCCTAGAAAAATAATACAGATTTCACACTGTGGCTGATGCCACAAAAGTTTAATCTGTGACCTTCTGTGATCTTAAGTTTTCCATCAAACCAGAAGTGTCTTAATAAATATTCTTCTGAAAATAGTGACAAACGGATGCTTAAAGAACAGTAGACTTTATACATGCAATTTTGTGTTCTGCCACTCTCTTTGAAAGACTCCTCTGGTGGGGTAAATTCGAACCACGGAGAAGATGAGCAGGGAGTCAGTCTCGCTGAGATTTTTACCTGTGGTTCTAGGAACGCAGAGGCATGTGAGTGTTCAGGCTTTGCATAGACCACTAAGCCACTTCTAAGAACAAGACTACCTGAGGCATTTTGCAAAAATATGTTACACACCGAGGCTTTTCCTTTCTACCCCTACCCTCAACTCTTTTTGTAGACATGCCGCATTTTTGAAAAGAGGATCAAAGATTGGGTTGGGCAAGAATTTTATGTTGCAAACCACGCGTGATAATTCCAGGGAATTTCAATCGCACCTTATCTTTCTTCCTAAGCAAATGAGGTGGGAACCTGGTGTGGTATGATAGAAAAAGGCCCGTATTCTCTGTGGTAGACCACATTCGTCTCACGTGCCCGTCTCTCAGGCTCCCACTCGCCTCTCACAAGGGAGTGATGGGTTGCTTGGTTTCACTCCTCTCCTGCCCTCTAATTTCCACATGGGTATCTGGCTAAAAATGAGTTACAAGTTTCCTTCTGTGAGAATTGCATAGACTGATAATGTTCCATCCCAGGAAGAAAACAAGATGCTGTCTTCCCCTCCAGCTCATGTCACAGATGGGGAGGGAACACATGCTATAAATTAAAGGCATTGAGAAATGGTCACAGTGACCACTGTGAGTGGCCCGGCTATGGGAACAGGGTAAAAACTCTGGAGAGAACAATTTGTTGGCAGGAATGGTAATTCTTCTAGCATCAGGCTCTAAGGCAATGTCCAAACGATACTGTAAGAAATATTTTGCCACCCCTCCAGGTCAGGTGAATGATGTAGGCAGCTAAACTAGACAATTTAAACGTTTATGCTGATGGATCACTTGGCTGAAATGAACCAGGAAATAGCAAAGATTTCACTTGGCTCTTTGAAATTAAATCTTCATATTACAGCATCGAGTTAGAGATTCTAAAAGGACCTGCGTTCCTTACACTGAGAAGAAAGAGTGAAAAAAACCTTTTCAGATTAGCCCTTCTGTGTCCTGGTGCCAGCTCGGGCCCTCCCCAGACTGCCTCTGTGAAAGTGAACTGACCCTTCCTCCTAACCTGGAACAGGTCGGGCTGAACAGCCATGGGACACAGGAGCCGTGGGGCTCTGTTAGGGGTTGGACTCTTTTTGTTACCTGGTGTCTGCACATGTCACGATGTTCCCTCACTGTCTTTGCTGTTGGCCAGCAAGAACAGCTCCAAAGGCCACACTATACACTGGGATCTATCCTATTGTCCAGTGGAATACTAAAAAATTTCCTGAATCTGCCTTCCTGAGTTGATAAAATAGGAAACAATAAACGTTCGGAGAGGGTGTTGAAAGCGGAGTAAAGACAGGAAGATCTTTTTTCTGCTATTCTACAAATATTGCTTCCTTGGCTTGTTAGCAGCCCAGAGGAAATGCAGCAGTGAGGGAGCCGTTTGCAGCTTCTCACCAGCGGCCAGTGTCTCTGGTGTACCAGCCGAACGACGTTGCAAGACTAGTGACTCATACACGTCCGCATGATTCAACTTCACTAAAATTCCCTCGGCTGCCAGTAAAGACGCACTTGAAAACTCTTTAATTTGAAGCTTGGAATCAGGTTAATGACTTGCTTTCTTTTCCTTCTCCCTAAATCCTCCCCCTACTTGCCAACACACACACACACACACACACACACACACACACACACACCACACACACACACCATTGTCGAGTTTTTACGTTTCAAGGACCCGGAAACTTAGAAGCTCCGTGCATGCACAATAGCATTTGTTGTGACAAAGTGGCTGGCAAGTCCTCTGCATTCCCCTGCTCACTTGGCTGTATGAATAAATAATGAGTCACAGATACTATTTGGGTGCCCGAGAGAGTTTGTAGCCAGAAAATTAATTATTCCCCCATCCCATCCCAGTCCATCTCAGCTCTGCCAAACCATCAAGCCACACTTTGTGGGCAATGGTCAGAGTGCGTGCCCTGACGCACTGCAATGTCTTCGTGACATTTTCATGTTATTATTTTTGTTTGTTTAAGTATAGCCTTCTTTTACCACTAAAGAGCCACAAAACGCACATGCACACACATACTCACACACTCATGGTTCAACCACAGCTTTGCACATTTCAAGAGGCTGGCTGCAAAAACGTAGACAGGTTTTCCTAGCTGCTGTTATTCGTAAGCATGCAATCTAACTACTTAAGCTGTGAGAATATGGCTTAGGAAACTATCGCTCTTTTTGAGAGAAACTTCTGTATGTCATATCTTGCTTGCTTTCTCTCTTGAAAGACACTGGTTGCCTCTTACATTGAAGATACAAAGAAAAACACAGCCCAGCCCCATCTTGATGCTTTTAACCTAACCAAGTCTGCCCAGCTCCTGTATGCTTTGTTTTTGGGAGACAGCTGCAGTGCCACTTTGGCCCTGAAGTCCCCGGGATGGTCGAAAGCGTTATCTGTGATCCTCCGCCTCCTGTCCTTCACTGGCACCAGCCTTCCTGGCCGGCTCTGTGCATGTGCCTGCTAAGCCCCCAGGGCAGGCTGCATTCTGGGCCACACAGCATGCTGAGTTAAGGATAACTCAGGCACAGTCATTCCAGGCAAGGGACAGCAAAATATAACCCAGGGAGCTTCGTGCAGCCTTTATAATCTCTAGAACTTTAAACAAGACCAGCAGAACTTAATCACACTTGAGAGTTCTCACGCACCGACTGAGCACTCCAATAGCTTAACTAAGTATTTATTAAAACATTTCTGAAGAGCTGCCATCTGATGAATAAGTAATCCAATAGCCTTGTAATCATATGCCTCAGTTTGAATTCCTCCCACAAAACAGAGAGGGAACCGGCAGACACCGAGGAAGCCCTCTGCACCTAGGTGAAACAGGCTACCATTTCATTATATGCAAAGTCGAGCAAAAGTAGATATTACAAGACCAGCATGTACTCACCTCTCATGAAGCACTGTGGGTACGAAGGAAATGACTCAAATATGCTGTCTGAAGCCATTGCTTCCTCCTGAAAATGCACCCTCTTCTGAAGGCGGGGACTCAATGATTTCTTTCACCTTAGGAGCAAAAACCAAGAAAGGTCACTGTTTTAGCCTCACCCACCCGCCCAGCTCTCCATCTCTCTTCTGTCCCCCTGGACACCTCTGGGACTCCCTAAGCCCTTTGAAAAATGTACCTTTGTGAAAACAAATATTCAAATTGTTAAAGATTAAAAAAAAAAAAAAAAACAAGCGCCGCCTTGGCTGTGGGTTGATGATGTTCACCACTCTGCGAAACCCTGTGGTTTGCATTCAGTGTGATTCGCCCTGCCTGCTGACCACTGTGCCGGGCTCAGACTTCTGACACTGCCAGGCTACCCAACTTGTGGTTCTGTGGTTGTTTATGAGGCCCAAAGAAGTTTTCACACAACCCAAATTACAAATTTAACTGTTCCCCTTTCCATAGACCATCTCAATTGGTTCTGGCTGATCATGTGACTTAAGTGATGTCAATTTTTTTTTTCTTTCTGAGCAATGCCCTTCCTTCCCTCCACCTTGCCCTCCCCCAGGCTGTGCAAGAAAACAGCCGAGTAGACTTTGTAAGAGGGGGAATGTAGAAAAAAAAGTGACTCAGTCTCTTATTATATCTCAGTGGTCTTTGCTGATTTAGTACAACTCGGCTCCTGTTGTTGTTATTTGTGGTTTTGGGAACTACTGATTATTTTGATAAAGATTTCATTGCTGCTTATTCAATAGTAATTCAACACTGGCATGAAGTTGCTGCTCAGACAGGATGTGGATCCCATCATTTAAAATGCTAGGCATCAGCTCCAGGAGTGTTCAGTCCTTGGTAAAGACTATAATATAATGGCATAAGTGAAACTATAAAAGGGAAAATAAAACAAAGGAAATGTTTTGATGAGAGTCTGACCCCAAAAAGGAGCTGGCAACTTACTGATATTTTAAAGCCCGCAAAAAGGAAAGCATTTTAATTTTGAAATAAAAAGACCATTTTAATAAAACCCAAATTTTGTCATTTTATTCCCCCTGAGTGGACATCTTTATATATAAAAAGATATACATCTTTTAATGAAAGATATATATTTATTAAAAGATAAAATCATAGTTCTCTCTTAATTCTCTCTCTCCTTCTCTCTCTCTCTGTCTCTCTCTCTCTCTCTCTCTCTCTCTCTCTCTCGGAAGCTAAAGGAAAACAGAGAAAGGAGAGTTTTTGTATTTTGGAACAAAGTCGTGGACTGTTTTTACCTAAAAAGGTTTGCTGCCTTGCCTCTCTCTAGTTCAATTCAGTAGGCTAATTTACACCTTTAGTTGGTACACTTTGAGTACATTAAGACTTCACAACAGATAGGGGAACCAGCAGGAGATGTTTCTCTAGGACAAGCCCCTTCTCCTGGGCCTGACGAGTGACTGTCATCTAGCATCCCTCCTTTACCCAGGGAGACATGCCCTTTGGGAGGTGCTAAAAACAAGATAATTTTGTATGCTGGCAAACCACTCTGGTCACGCATACTCATCTGTTTTTCCTGCCTGTTGGTTTTACCTGCTGGCAAATAAAACGTCATTCTTTTTGTAGTTCTAAGGTTAAGACTTTCCCTAATTAATTACCTTTTTTTATTTGGCTTTTTTTATTCTGCTGCATACATCCTCCACAACACTCTGTATACATGAAGTTTCAAGGCAGACACTCCAGAGCCTGTGTGATGATGGGTTCTAAATGCCAGCCCTGGATTCTAAGCTACAATAACTAACACAGGCACTTTAGAAAGTCGGTACTATCAGAACCCTCCCTCTGCTTTCCCTCATCTACTTAATTCTACACACACAAAGAACCACAAATATATTACTTTCAATGGCACAGGTCTTTCAAAAGGAATAGACTTGATTTCTACTTGCTCCTGTTTTGACTAAAGCAGGAATTGAAACTCGAGAGACTGCTTTCTCTTAGACTTGTGACATGTTAGATTGCCATATGTTGATACTTTGCTAACATTTAAAAGAATAGTAATGCCTGTATTTCTTTTATGAATTTTAGTAATATCAAAATGCAACGCATGTTTCATATTGCTTCTCAAGGCAAATCCCCGGTTAACATTATTAACATTATGTTCCCATGCTATTATACTCCCTAATAAAGTCAAGTCTGCGTTAAATCCCCAACCAGGATCTTCTTTTCTCTTCTATACTTAATATTTCCTGGAAGGATTCTAAAAGTTGAGGGCTGTAACATGCAGCTGCCATTGCAGAGTCGACTCACTTAATAATGACTTGGCAATTCAAGTGGTCGTACAGATTAACCCTCTGGATATTTCATTTTAGAAACTCCCAAATACTTTTAGCCTTAGGTGTCCAGATGCCTGAGGAGAGGGTTTAGAAGTGCCAGCAAATGGCCCAAGTTCTCAATTTTTCTCTGTGGATCTAGCTAGAACCAGTTAAACATTTTATTTCCCCTAGTGGGGTCTTCCTAGGACAGGTTAGAATGTAAAGATGGCTTAAGGCTGGGGCTTCTCAAGGCCTCACCATAAGATGTCATCTTCAGGGCTGGGGTTTCAACGGGGCACCAGGGGGCAGAGTACAAAGGCCTGCACACCAGCCCTGGACTGCCTGTCCTGGTGGGGTTAACTGTCACAGCAGCCGCAGCATAACTTCGCAGCTCGATGAGGCAACAGTTGGGCTTTCCTGGGCACCCTCCAGGTCATGACAATAAATAAAGACTCAGTCAGCTGCTGGTGAACTTGGCCTCACCACTTCCCTAGGAGCCCAAGACAAAAAGGCATGTCTGTCATCAATGAACCGCCCAGAGAAATACTTAATCCTATCTTAACTGGAACTGTTTAGGATTCTTTAAGTTTGTGCATTGACCCACACCCTCTGTCCTAGTTCCTGCAAGTGACTCAGGCCCTGGGCCTGCTGGCTTGGGAATTGTACCCAAGTGGCTGCAGCGGACTGTGGCTTTGCCAAGTAATTGGATGATAGTTTTCATCTTTCCTCGGATTGGCTACAGCTTCTAAATGCCACTACTAGGGAGAGGAGAGGGGAGGGAGAACATGCTCAGGTGTTTTTTTAATGACCCTATAAAAATACCAGCAAAGGTTGAAAGATGTATAGTTGCATAACCCTGTAATTAATGTATAGACTTCTGTGTGCCATCCAATGCAATTAAAACACTCTTTGTTAGACATTTTTATTACATGATAGCTGCATGCCGTCTCTGAACTCCACATGTCTATTATCAAGTATATTCTTTGACCAGAAAGTGGTGGCAAAGATGGACCACCCAAATTGGATGTATTCTAAAATCCCAAGAGGATGATGCTGCTGCATTATCTCTGTGTCATGTGGGTTTTTTGTTTTTAATCATTTTCTAATCTTTGTTTTCTAACAGAGGTGTTATCCAGAAATTTTCATGCTATGCTCACAATGAGCTCAGGGGTGATTTTTAAATTGGGACATACACATCAAAGCTTGATGGAAAGAGTATAACCTGCTCTTAGCAAATCCAACAGCTTGAAATAACTGGAGAGCCCTACAGGCCCAGCAGTTAAAGATCCTCTTTTCTGAACACTCATGACTCGTGATGGTGTCCATGCAAGACATATCCTTCTTCTGCACAAGCCTCTTGCTTTTTAGATAAAAGTGTAATTCAGGCTAGAGGTGGTGGGTGACTCATGCCTACAATCTCAGCATTTTGGGAGGCTGAGCCCAGGAATTCAAGACCAGAGCAACATGGCGAGACCTCACCTCTACAATAGATTAAAAATACCAGCTGGGTGTGCTAATTTACACACACCTATAGTCCCAGCTACTTGGAAGACTGAGGTAGAAGGACCATCTGAGTCCAGGAGGTTAAGGCTATGGTAGCCATGATCATGCCACCGCACTCCCGCAGGCAACAGACTGAGACTCTGACTTTAAAAAAACAAAAAAGTGCAATCCATCAGAACACATTATTTTATAGCCATGTAAGAGTTTCAGTATTTATTTCTTAACCTTTCCAGGATGAAAATGCACTGTTCTGTGGGGAAATACAATTTCAAAAGAGAAAAGGAAAAAAAAGGCAGGCATTAAAATCAGTCCATCATATGAATGCTATCTAATGATAGGAAAGCTGCTAAGGAGAATTGTTCCAAATAAAATAGTTTAAACTGCTTTGCTCCTCTCTTCTCCACACGTGGGGACTGTGGACCAGCTGACATCACCCAGGAGCTTGTTAGGACTCAGCATTTAGGGCTGCCTAAATTAGAACCTATTTTTTACATGAGCCCCAGGTGACTCCTATCCACATTAAAGTTTGAGAAGTATTGCTCTGAGGGAAGTCTTGCATATGTTGAAAGCAAGGATATTGATAAATGTTTGCATTCTTTGAGATGTCTTCTTTCACTGTTTTCCGAAACTTTTCTATTTTGTTGCCTTGGCATCTTTTGGTAAGTCCTGGATGTTTCTAGACAGCAGAAACCCACAAGGTTTCTGTCCTCCTAGGTAGCATTTTCTTGGATTTTTCCCTTGTACCTTTCTTCTCAACTGCCACATTTGGGTCAAGTTTACAGTTTGAGGTTGACATACAATGGAGAGAGGCTCCCTGCATGCTCCATCTGTCTAGCTGGTGGCCACGTGTATATAAACAGAAGGTCTTTTTTTTTCTCCAGGGGCATCAGCCTCTCAGTTTTCACCCAGTTTGCAGTTTGGAAACATATTAATCCTGTGAGACCTTCCAGACACACACCACACGTCCACGCAGCAGGCAGCATTACTAGTGGCCGCGCAGTCCGACTGTGGGCTTTTCTCCTTCCAGATGGTCATCTGCCTCCACTCTCCAGCCACTGTCTTGTGGATGTCATGCCCATCACTTTGCTCTCAAAGAAGAGCCCCACCCTTAGATTGCACCCCCTTGTACCAGCCAAACATTCCTGAGTCCAGAGGCTCTGTTTACATGGCACCCAGGAGTTTGGCTACTTCTCTCAGATGCATCTGGATCCTTTCAGGCTGTCTTGGGCCAGAAAGCTTATTTGGAATAGTTTCTCCTTACAGAGTTTTGGCCCTTCTGTTTCTGGTGGCATTCAAAACCAGGAGGGTAACACTGGAAAACTTAAACAAACCCTCTTTGAATGTTAGAAATGCTCAGCATTCGAGGTTTGGTCAAATGATGGAAAACATTTCTGCATTGGTACCGAACTTTCCAGCCAGTTCCTCCAACCTTGAGGCTAATTATATCATGAAATCCAGGCAGGGAAAGCAAAGGGAAATACGGAAACTAAAATTACTTGAAGTTACAGAAGCCAGAATTCATATTGGTTAGATAATGTCAGATTCAATACTTCAGTTTATGTGACAAATAATGGCTAGTGTCCCAAGTCTGATCAAAGCACCAGGCGTCAGGAACCTTGGACTCATCGTAATTGTGACTTATTTTCCCAGTGGTAGGCAAATGAATAAA